GAGCAACGGACTCACGGGCGACTGGAGCAACGGGCTCACGGGCGACTGGCGCAACGGGCTCACGGGCGACTGGCGCAACGGTCTCACGGGCGACTGGAGCTGCTGGCTTCACGGCGGCCACCCCCTTCAACCTCCCCAAACTATCCCACTCCCCCTGACACACACCCGCTGCTACACCGCTAGCTCCACTCCCCCTTCACCCCCCCTTAGTACCACTCCAATGGCTCCAACAAGTCCACCCCCCCTCAGCGGCAGCTGCAGCACAGGGAGACGGAGGAGGAGGAGGAGCAGGGAACGGCACACAGTGGCTTCACCCCCATACCCCTCACCCCCAAACCCTAATTCAGGAGAACGGGCTGTAGGAGGGGTGGGGCGCTAGTAGAAGCACGGGGGACAGCGGGGAGGGCAGGGGCAGCGAGGAAAGGGCCGCCCACGGGCCTGGCACAGCCGCCCGAACCGCGCGCAGGCGGCCCGAGCCGCGCGCGGGCCTGGCGCAGCCCGTACGGGCCGCGCGCGGGCCTGGCGCAGCCCGTACGGGCCGCGCGCTGGCCTGGCGCAGCCCGTACGGGCCGCGTCCGGGCCTGGCGCAGCCCTTACGGGCCGCGCGCAGCCTGTACGGGCCGCGCGCAGGCCACGACGGGCGACGGGGGGCGACGCGCGGGTCCCCGTCGCCCGTCGCAGCGCCTCCCGAGGGCGACGCGCCGAGTGACGGGGCAGAAGCCCGCCGCGCGCCTCGGGGCGCACAGCGGGCAGAGAACCGCCGCGCGCCACGGGGCGCACGGCGGGCAGAAAACCGCCGCGCGCCTCGGGGCGCACGGCGGGAAGAAAAACTGCCGCACGCCACGGGGCGTGCGGCACAGAGGGTAGCAGTGGAAGTTGCAGCGGAAGCAACGAGGTGGTGAGCCCACCCACAGGATCGATCCAAGGGGATCGACCTGCTCTGATAGCATGTGAAAGTTTAAAAGGAAGAAGAGAGGAGGATTGCACTAGCAAGAATGAGGATACAAATAGCAAACCCTAGAAGGGTTGTACTCGCTATAGAGCACCCCACTACAGGCTAGAGCATAATATTCTGACACTTTGGGTTTCTAGAATATAGCGCAACAATAGTCTGTCAACAGATGTACATAGCCTTTATTGTTTTCATTTCAGACTCACATGTTCAAGTTATACATGTAAATCTACTACAACACAAACCATTTTCTCTTAACGATTGACGTTTTGCCGAGTTATAGTGTGTACGTACGGTGTACAATACGGTTGAAATGATCAGTTACCAGTTTGGAGTTCGAAATGCACTGTTCATTACCTGTCAGGCAATAATGTTGAGCAGGCAGGCATGTTGGTTACCACGAAGGCGATCACACGATACGTTTGTTACGATTTGTACACGTGGCTTACCTCGGGTGCGATCGAGCTCCATGAGTGTTAACACTGATTACAAAATCTTAGCAATCGCACTTGCCAATCGCCTGCAAACCGTGCTCCCCACTCTGATCCACCGTGCGCAAACCGCCTTCATTAAGGGCAAGAAACTCGGGGATACCATCAACGATGCTCTTGACCTCATGGATTGGGCCACCAACCAGAACTTGCCCTTGCTGGTACTCACCGTCGACATAAGAAAAGCGTATGATATAATGGATCGGGACTTCTTATTCCAGTGCTTGTCTCATCTTGGCATTCCTCCTCAATTCATCACCTGGGTCTGCCTACTGCACTCCCACACCTATACCCACGTCTCAGTCAATAACGCCACTGGTCCCCGGTTCCAAGTTCGCACCGGGGTCAGACAGGGATGCCCCCTGGCCCCCCTTCTGTTCGTCTGCGTGATCGAAGTATTGCAACGGCACCTCGCCGCAGCCTTACCTGGGTTTGCCTTTTCCCCGACACAACGTCGGCTGATGGCTAGTTACGCGGACGACGTGTCTCTTTTCCTGAACAATGACACAGAACTTCGCACGGCTCAAGACTGCTTACAAGAATTCGCACAATGCTCGGGAGAGGTCCCCAATTGGTGCAAATGTGCAATCCTCCCCTTCAACATCCACCCATCCGACCTCAGGCATGCATGGCAAATCCCCATCCGCAAACCACATGAGGCGGAAAGAGTCCTAGGCATATACGTAGAATAGGAGCAACCAGGCAACACCACCTGGGGCCTCATCAGGGGAAGGGTTAACTCCACCTCTGAACTCCTTTCTCGGTTACACGCCACCACCACATGCAGACGGTTACTCACCGCGGAACGGCTTTCTTCCCTTTATTCCTACGTCGGCAGGTTCCAGCCCCCCCCTAAACCAACAGTTAAAAACTTGGATCACGTGGTCGGGACTTTGCTTCCTCCAAATACAAGGAGAATAGTCGTCCAACACGTCTCATTCCGAAACAGTTCCTCTACAACAAACAGAAACACGAAGGCGTCGGGGCTACCGCACCATCTACCCAACTAAAAGCCCTTAATATCCAGCGTGCAACGCGACGCTTTCTACCCTCCCCATATGAGGACATCGCCCGGGCTTGCTCCACCCTACCCTTCGGTCTCCATTGCTATCTAGCACACCCTGACATCTTGAAACATCTCCCCAGCTCCACCCCAGCCAGAGCCCAGGCAGAACTCCAAAGCCTCCTCGAAACTCCGGCAAAAATTCTCCCCCCGAGACTCGAACCTTGGGTTCTGATGGCGGAGCCTGTGGCATTTAACAGGTTCATAAGCAAGCCAGACGAGAAGCCGTTTGGACGAATCAAAGAAGAAAAATTCCTTCTGGACAAACAAATAAGACTCGGGAATCTCCTTGTCTCGATTCCAGGAGGCACAAGGAAGCTAACAGCTTCCGAGTTCCGCTCCCAATACCCGCCCAAGGAATTCCCCGGAGGTCTTCGCATCCTGCTAAGCATTTATAAGGCAGTCGATGATGACTGGTGGGAGATACTCGAGACATTCTCTCCAAGGCAAGGATACCTGAAAAAAGATGACTGGGCTTTCGAAGCGAATGCTGCCCCGACCCCCTCACGAATCCTTCGTGTAATCCAGGTCCTCCCCAACGGTACCGCCTGCTTTGATAGGTATAAGGTCTCACGCGAAAGGCAACTCGCTAAGGAACCGTCAGGAAGCTGATCCCTACACGTCACGGAGGTCATCACGGTCTGCGTCGTAGGGATCTGGGTGGCTGGAACCTACTGTTCTGGGGCTGCGCTGGGAGTACGGCATGAGATACTACGGCAGCAGCTGTCTCTCGCGGGGATTCGTCAGTTCCTCTACATCCGGGAACCACTCCACCACGTCGAAAAATGGAACGAGATTCTTCAAACGCCCATCACATCCCTCCCCAACTTTACCCAACCATTTCTCAAGGACCAAACCAGCCGCCAGAAGGACATCCTATACCGACTATACACAAGATCCCTACCGTGCGGTGAAAGGCTTCCCTTCACACGTACTCAAGGCATCTGCCCCCGCTGCCGGAACAACTCTATCGAATCTCACTCACATATCTTCTTCGAGTGTGGAAACGCGCCGGCCGTCGTCACCGCGCTCCAGCGTACGGCCAGCAAGCACCTACGAATGACTTCCTCCAGATGCAGTTTACTTCCTACTCTCTGCGGGCTCCGGTCAAATCGCGCCTTGGTGCCTGCTGGTCGGTTCTGCCGCTCTGGTTCTCTGGCGCAATCGCTGCTCACAAATCTACGACAACACCTCTCATTCTGTGCATACGATGCTCCACCACATTTTGGCCCTATTCCTATCGGCATGCAAGATCTACTTCTTCCGTCGCAACAAGAAATCCGAGAAGCGTAAAAGAACCACGGCCAACCGAGTCCAAGCTGCGAAGATTCACAATCTGCTCCAATTCCAACCCGACGGCTCCCCTCAGCTACACCCCCAACTTCGTGCCACCTGGCTTAACAACGCGTTCCAACCACCGTGACTTTGTTTTGGGTGTAGGTAAAGCACGGAGCGTGCTGGGCAATCTGGCATGTGGGCTCTGCCTGGCCTCACAAACGCTGTCTAAGCGTAGGATGTAGATCCTGGTCTAATCACCTTGTGTAGCCTCCGCTGCTGTAGACCTTAATAAAACTTAAACTTAAACCTTTTGCCTTCGCGTGTCTGATGCATCAGAAATTTTAAAAGAACTTGTCTGACCAATTAAAATAGAGTTTCTAGCGTGTAGATGCACGTGGGATAACAAGTTGAGTCTGACTTTTCTGGACCTGTCGCATTCATTCGAAGTACACGCTGGTGTGATTCGGACTTCACTGGTCTCAGCAAAATCGCCCCAACACGGCAGATTCGCCCTGTCAGAGCACAAAATATTCGCCCCATCGGAGCAAATTCGCTGTGACACGGCAGATTCGCGACGTCAGAGCTCAACATGTTCGTCCAATCATAGACAACTCGTCCTGACACAAGAGATTCGACCTTACACAACACAGCAGATTCGCTTTGACAACAGATTTGCCCTGTCAGAGCATGTTTTGCGGGAAATCCCCGTACTCTAACATGTTTCGATTTCAGACGAAACATATATTACACTTCTGATGAATCAGATGAAGACAAAAACTCATTTCTACTCAATCAGATGAAAAAATAAATAATTCCTTGAAAATCAGATTAACTGGAAAAATATCGTCTGGAAACTACGACAAACAGACAAAAATGTCTAATGTCGAGGACCCTGTAAGACGGGTAACGTTCCTACCTCGCATCAAGCACCGTATGCAGGACTCAATACAACCAGTGACTGGCACATGGTGATTCGATACGAGGCAGGAACACACCCGTAGGCACGCATATAACGATGCTCATGCCACAACCTGCTATCCTAACCTGCCCCCCATGTGCCAACCCTGCAGTGCTGGTCCTGCAGTGAGAGCCCTGCATTGCCATCTCGCGTCGCTGGCTATGTTAGAAGGAGCATTGAGCCCCAAGAAGTAGACCTCGGTGAGAAACGAGGGTGGGTGGGTGGGTGGCGTGGGCGGGTGGCATGGCAGCCACGGGGTCACACTGCCTGCACTGCTGCCAGGGATGAGTAGTCGTATTGCTCTGTTGTGGGCGATGGAATGGGAGATTATGGGGGGGGATGAGCAGACAGTTCCACGTGAGGAGCGAGGAGAGGCGAGGTGAGGAGATGAGATGAGAGGAGAGGAGAGGAGAGGAAAGGGGAGGAGAAGGGTTTAGGGTTGAAAGGAGAAGAGAGGCGAAGGGAGAAGAGGAGGGACGAGGCGAAGAGAGGGTAGGAGGGACGAGGCAAAGATTGCACAGGAGAAAAGAGGAGATGAGGTTCGGGGGGTGACCAAGGCAGCATGTGCATAACAAGGTAGCAAGTGCACACGGAAGCAAGTGCACAGCCGTGGCCACTCACTGGTGGCCTTGGTGCACGAGGCGGAGCCGAGGTTGCCCCAGTCGGAGGAGGAGACGCAGCCCTTGAGGCACGCGACAGTGTAGGGCGCGGTGCTGCTGGCGTGGTAGTGGTAGAACGCCGGCTCGCCCCCACTGCCGTCGCCCACGTGCCCCCCACACTCGTCCACCCCTGCCGGCAGCGCTCCCCCCGCTCCCCGCGGGCCGAAGAGCGGGATGCCGTCCGCCAGGAAGCCCAGCAGTGGCGAGTGCTGCCCGGGGGCGTCCTGCCAGAAGGACGCGCTGCCAATGGAGTAGGGGGAGGGCGGAGGGTAGGCAGGCGGAGACAAGGGGGGATGGACGGTTGGGATGCCAGGAATGCTACGAGGTGAATGGCATGAGGCAGCGCATGGTACATGGAAGGAGCAGAGGTTGCAGGTGAGGGAATGGGGGAGCGCACTTGCAGAGGTTGAAGTTGGTGGAGCGAGATGCGGAGATGGCAGAGGGGTTGGCGACGCCGGGCGCCACGTGGTAGTGGTACTGGCCTGAGGGCGTGGGGTGCCCGCCACATGCGTCAAACGTGGCGCCCTCGTACTGCAAGGCGTCCCGCCCCAGGGCGTCACACGCACTGCCAGGGGGAGAGGGAGGGGAAGAGACACGGAGGGACGATGCGGGCGTGAGATGGTATGCACACCACTGGGACTCACACGCTTCTTCGTACTGCCTGGCATCGCACGCAAGGGCAGCAGGAGAGCAGCACGTGGGGCCATGCCAGGCCATGGCATGGGCGGCACACTGCGGAACGAGATGCAGAACTCCAACTCCTTGTCAGCCCACTGCCCCTACCCTCTCCCCCTCGCCCCTTCCCTCTCCCCCCTCCCTCCCCCCCTGCACCTGTAGAAGGGCACGCCGTTGAGTACGAAGCCGATGGGCCCCATCTTGCAGGTGCCGCTGAGGGCGACGGGGATGGTGGAGGAGGCGAGCGTGGGGGCGAGCGGCACGGCGAAGGACAGCGCCTGCTGCACTGGCGAGTACTGCGTGGCCTGCCCCCGCCATGCGTACCCCGGACACCCGTTGCTCTCCATCACCCTGCCATGGCCGGGAGGACAGGGCAGGGGGAACGGGGAAGAGGGAACGGGGCAGGGGGAACGGGGCAGGGGGAACAGGGCAGGGGGAACGGGGCAGGGGGAACGGGGCAGGGGGAACGGGGCAGGGGGAACGGGGCAGGGGGAACGGGGCAGGGGGAACGGGGCAGGGGGAACGGGGCAGGGGGAACGGGGCAGGGGGAACGGGGCAGGGGGAACGGGGCAGGGGGAGGCAGGGGGAACAGGGCAGGGGGAACAGGTCAGGCGGAACAAGACAGGGGGAACAAGGAAGGGGGAACAGGGCAGGCGGAAAAAGGCAGGGGGAACTAGGCAGGGGGAACAGGGCAGGCGGAAAAAGGCAGGGGGAACAAGGCAGGGGGAACAGGGCAGGCGGAACAAGGCAGGGGGAAAAGGGCAGGGGGAACAGGGCAGGGGGTACAGGGCAGGGGGAACAGGTCAGGGGGAGAACAGGGCAGGGGGAACAGAGTGATGGAATGGAGAAAAGGGGGCAGAAAAAGCGATGGAAAGGAAATGCATGCATGGGGGAAAGAGATGAGAGGATGTGAGCGTGCATGCAGAGTGGCTGAGCGGGTGGGCGCACCTCTTGCCATTGCTGCTCGTGAGCTTGGCACTCCTGCTGCTGCTGCTGTTGCCACACGCACTCCCACCCGATGACCCGCTGCTTCCCCCCATGCCTCCTGCGCCCATGCCTCCTCCGCCCATGCCTCCCCCACCCACGCCTCCTCCGCCCATGCTTCCTCCCCCCATGCCTCCTCCGCCCATGCCTCCTGCGCCCATGCCTCCTCCGCCCATGCCTCCTGCGCCCATGCCTCCTCCGCCCATGCCTCCCCCACCCACGCCTCCTCCGCCCATGCCTCCTCCGCCCATGCCTCCTCCGCCCATGCCTCCCCCACCCACGCCTCCTCCGCCCATGCCTCCTCCGCCCATGCCTCCCCCACCCACGCCTCCTCCGCCCATGCCTCCTCCGCTCATGCTTCCTCCCCCCATGCCTCCTCCGCCCATGCCTCCTCCGCCCATGCCTCCCTCGCCCATGCCTCCTCCGCCCATGCCTCCTCCGCCCATGCCTCCTGCGCTCATGCCTCCCCCGCCCATGCCTCCTCCGCTCATGCCTCCTCCGCTCATGCCTCCTCCGCCCATGCCTCCTGCGCCTATGCCTCCTGCGCCCATGCCTCCTGCGCCCATGCCTCCTCCGCCCATGCCTCCTCCGCCCATGCCCCCTCCGCCCATGCCCCCTCCGCCCGCATTACCCGTTGGTCCGCTCATCCCGCCACCTCCTTGCGACCCGAACCCGCCCTGCCCGCTCTGCCCGCCGCTCATCGCGCCACTTCCGCCGCCGCCGCTGGTCCGCGGGGGGCGGAAGAAGGACCAGGCTCCGCGTGTCCCCGATCCCCCCACCAAGCCGCCGAATCTTGGAAGGCCGAGCGAGCGCGCGCTGCACGCCGCGTGATCGACGCCCGCGAAGCAGAGGAGCGCCACGAGCGCGAGGGCCAGCACGACACGGGACGACGGGAGGCGACGCGTCATCATGGCGGGCGGCGCGTAATGCTAAATGGTTACTGCGACGAATCGAACCTTGTGTGAACTGGAGGGAGAGCGCGAGGCGAATGGGAGTGGCGAGGCAGGACAGGAGCGAAGACGGTCCGAGTCGGAGCCCACGTGGCGATGCTGGCGGGTGGCCGAGCGAGATTCGAGAGGCGTGGCCTGAAAAGAAACCTGAGAGCGCTGAGGAATGCGACCAGCGACGTCGCTATTTGTACTTCCACTGCCATCGCCGCCGCTGCCATGAGGCAAAGTCGCTCGACGTGCGTAGATTAGGGGAAACTGATGCGTTGTTTTGACTGTTGGGACGATCCAATGGATCTGGGAGTCAACGCGAATCCAGTCAACGGTGTGGAACTGTTGACTGACGCTTGGGCGAAAGTGTGTGAGCGAGTCAGCGTTCTCGTTAGAGTGCTTCTAGTGAGTTACCAAATTATTATGTCTGATATGCATTGCACATCATACCAGTAACACTTCTAATCTTAGTAGCTTAGCTCAGTGCCGTCTACTGCTATCTTCATGTCATAATAAGTTGGATATTCCATGCAGGCGTTTTGTTTTTTCTAGAAAACATATACGTACATTTGGTTTCAATACGGTATTAATGGAACTCATGAAGTTGTGTTCTCAAGGTAGAGAAGAGAGTGCTCTCCAGGGGCTAACAAAAGTCAAACAGTACGATACGAAATAATTTCTGAGCTGTAGTGCTGCTACATTTTGCTGAAACCAAGGGCTTCATTTTGTAACTACAACTTCTGTTCATACACCCGGTCAATATTGGAGGGTGCTGCATTTGGAGAAATACTGTATGTATGGTTTATAGTTTTGCTCCACTCTCAATGGCAGTGTTATTCACATGGCATGGTTGCTGCAGTGGAGAAAAGAGTGTGTGCGCCATACAGGCGGTGCCACGGCCGGCGCCTGACTCCAGCAACAGCATGGAGCCACCGGCTTGCTGCAGAAGCTCGTGAGGCGCACGACATGGCCCACAGCGCGGACAAAGGAGCAATGGAAGAGGAGGGATACTGCACGAGGATGGAGAGATGGAAAGCATGGGTGATGGAGAGAGAGAGACTGACAGAATCTACATGGCCCCACCCCATGTGCTAGTGCCCACGAACGAGTGAGGCACCGGCTTGGTCTCCTTCCATCCACCTCCCTCTACACTCCCATCGTTGTGGTCACCACGAGAGCATTAGGAGGGCAAGGGCGTCAGGAGGGCACAGGGCGAGCAGCAGGCGAGGTGGCAATGCTGCTGGTGCTGGATCCGCCCTCCTCACTGCCCTCCGACATGATCGTTGCCACCGATAGGTTGCGCGACGCCCCCCCCACCCGCGCCCGCCCTGCCGTGCCCCCTCCTCCCACCCCTCCCCCTGCAACGATGGGTGGCGGGCGGCCGTGGTGATGCTGCAGGACGGAGGAGGTGGCAGCAGGGGACGCCTGCCCCTGCCCACCTGCCACTCCTGCGCTGCCACTGCCCCCAGCTCTGCTGTCCGCACTCCCCTTGCCTGCCCCATCCCCACCTCCAGCACCGGCACCCTCTGTACCTTCGATGCCTCCTGCAGCAGCGGCACCCGTTGCAGCAGCAGTGGGGGGGGTGTCGAGGGGAGGAGGGGGGAGGGCGTGAAGGGGCATGTTGCGAGGAGGGGAGAGGGGGGTGAGGGAGGAGTAGTAGGGATGGGAGGGGCCGATGGGGCCCGACTTGTGCAGCCGCACGGCACTCACCCCACCACCACTGCCACGCCCTGCTGCTGCTGCTCCACTCGCCCCACCACTGCTCCCTGCTGTTCCCGGAACCGCTATTCGCCTAGCAGCAGCAGCAGCAGCAGCAGCAGTGGTGGAGGCGGCGGGGCGGGCATCGGCCATGAGGCCGAAGGTGGAGTAGAGCGACCCGCGCGTGATGGGGCCACTCACTGCGCGGCTGCCCGCCCCCACCGGGGCGACATGGGTCGCGTGCGAGGGGGCGAGGTGGAATGGAGCAGGTGCAGCGGCGGAGGGACGGGGGGACACAAGCGCATGCACGGTGCTGCCAGGAGTCTTCAGAGACGAGGTCTGTGGCACGCGCAGGGCGGCAGGCACCGCAGATGGGGCTCTGCCTGCTGCTCCTGCTGCTGCTGCTGATGGTGCTGGTGGTGCTGATGGTGCTGGCGCTGGCGGGGAGGGCAACGAGGGGTTGGGTGCAGAGGGCGTGGAGCTTCCAGCAGCACAAGGCGCAGTGGGCAGAGCGGTGGCTGTGGCGAGCATGGGTCGGGGTGAGAGGGCTGCTGTGCCGTAGGGGTAGGAGCCGCGCAGAATGGGTCCCGACATGCTCACTCGCGCCCTTGGCGCATTGCTGCCCACGCCCCCACCACCACCCCCTGCTCCCCGTCCCCTACCGGCTGCGGCTGCTGCTGCTGCTGCTGATCCACCAGTGCCACCGCTTGCTGCACCTTGCCCAGCCCCTGCCCCCATGCCAGCACCCACAGCAGCCCCCTGCGCTGTGCCTGGCATCAAAGGGCCGCCAGGCGTAGGCTTGGCGCCGCCTGGGGTGGGCTTAGACCCGGCAGCAGCAGCGGTGGCAGGGCCAGCAGGTGGCGCTGCTGCAGGTGCAGGCGGTGTGGGTGGGGTGGCAGAGACTATGCCCCAAGGCCCCTGCAAGGACTCCGGGCGGGGGAGAGGGCCCGACATCTGCGCTGCAAAGGGCTCCATGTGAGGCGCTCTGCCCCGCCCCGCCGTGCCTGCACCCGCTCCCCTCGGTACTGCCGCCCCTCTGCTGCCTGCTGCCCCCATGCCCCCCCCTGTGGCGGCTGCAGCAACAAGCGGCCCTCCCAGAGGTGCAGCAGAGGCAGCGAGAGCGCCCAGGTAGGCGGCGGCAGAGATGGGACCCGACTTGGACGCCCCCAGCAATGGCCGCACTGCTCCCCCCGCCCCCGTGCTGCTGCTGCTGCGATGCCGGCCCTGAGACGGCGGTGGTGGTGGTGGTGCTGTGGGCGAGTCTCCATGGACTTGTGGCTGCTGCAGCACGCCTCCTGATTGCATGCCTGCTCCCTCGCCCACACTGCGAGGCATGCTCCTTGTGCCGCCACTCACCGCGTTGCCTCGCCCAACCCCCCCTGGGCCAGGGGCATCTGCCCTGACAGAGGTGGGGGCGGGCGGCATGACAGGGGAGGGCGCAGGTGCCGTGGAGGTGGAGGGCGGGATGGGTGGCGGTGCATGCGCGGGTGCAGCAGGAGGCGTGGCAGGCGCATGTGGTGCAGAGGCAGCAGAGGGGGCGGGGGCAGCAGGAGCGGTGGCAGCGATGTGTGCGGGTGTGGAGGGGTGTGCGTGCTGGGGGGAGGGGGGAGAGGCGAGGCCTTGAGCTGGGGCGTGCTGCAAGAGGGGGGAGAGGCATAAAGAGGGAGCGGGGGAAGAGAACAAGGGGGAATGAATGGAGAGAATGAATGTAGGGAATAGAAAATGGAGTGAGGGATAGAAATAGTGGAAAGTGGGGCGAGTGCAACAAGGGAGCTGGTGGAACACGGATACACAGCAGAGCAGCTCCGACATGCACGCACAGGTGATGCGGGTGGCACGCTCAAGGCATCGAGGCAGATCTGCCTCGCGCCCACTGCACTGCCTGCCCCCCCCTCGTCGCCCCCCTCGTCGCCCCACTCGTCCACGTCCCCCTGTGCGACGGGCGCCAGCAGCGGTGTGTGCGCTAGGCCCAGGTCGTCCAGCACGTGCAGCATGTGCGGCTGCACTCGCTGCAGCTCCCCTGCACTGCCCCGCACCCACCGCACCTGCGGGACGGCAGGGCAAAAAGGAGGAGAAGCGGAGGGATCGTGTTGTGCAAGAAGAGGAGATCGTGGGTGCAGGGGCGGGGCAACACACCGTGAAAGCATCGCGTCTGCCTGATTGCTTCACACTGAAGCACCGAGCACCTATACAGTCCTAAACGCGCGGCACAGGTGGCCCACCTTGGCGGCACAGGTGGCCCACCTTGGCGGCACAGGTGGCCCACCTTGGCGGCACAGGTGGCCCACCTTGGCGGCGTGGTGTTTGACGGCGAGGGTGAGCAGCAGGCGCGGCTGGCGCTGCTGCAGCGCCAGGATGCGGCACCCCAGCGTCATCGCCACCTCGTCAAACTCCTCCTGCGCCGCCGCCTCCTCCTCCTCCGGCCCCCCCGCCCCCTCTGCCTCCCCCCCTGCGCCCCCCCCTGCGCCCATGGCGGCCGCCTCTCTGCGCCTTGCCTTGGCCGCCACTGCCGCTGCCGCATGCGCCTTCCTGCTCGCCCACACGTTGGGGGCGCAGGGAAGAGGTGGGGTGGGAACAGGGGACAGCAACAGCCAAGCCGTCGGTCCGAGCGAGAGGCACATGGGGCGAGGCACATGGGGCGAGGCACATGGGGCGAGGCACATGGGGCGAACACAGTGGAGAGAAACGAAATGCGCAGGCCAGTCCCAACTCAGCTTTGCAGATTTGAACTCCCTTTTAGTTCCAATCACTTCCAACGATCCTATCCAGCCATTTCGTCTGTGTGCGTCCGTGGCACTCCCTTCGCACACTGAGTGCATCAAGCGTGACACGGCACAGCAGCTGCACTGGCATGGCATCACGCCATCGCGCGCCCCCAGTTTACACCCGCATTACTCACAGCCCTGTTCCGTGTGTTGTGTGATACAAACCCAGCAACCAAGGACCGGGCTGCAACGACACTCACCTCTTCTGCTCGTAGAGCTCCTTCGTTTCCTGGTGGACGGAGGAGGGCAGAGGGCGGAGGAGAGAAGAAGAGGAATCAGAGTGTGAGATAGACAAAGGGCAGATGGGACGGCAGGTGAAGATGAGAGGTAGGATGAGAGGAGAAAGCTCGTCTGCCCGATTGATAAAAAGGTCCAGTTGTTTTGGGAATCGGAGACGGGAGGGAGAGAAAAGGGGTTCGATCTACTAACCCTTGGCTTAATTTTATTAATTTCCTCGTTGTGGCAAGTTTGTGTTCGCTAGCCCACTCATGCTTCCTCTTTGGTCCAACAAGTTTCCACAACCTTTAAGTTCGACTTTTGTGTTAGTTAAATAAGGTAGGAACTATTAATCACTTCTACGTCTTCGAAAAGCTTACACCACATGACAAATGTCATGGCCGCAACACCTGCCAAGGCCACATCAATCTCACAGGAAACCTATTGCTCAATCCTGCTGCATCTCACCACCACGTGCTGCATCTCACCACCACGTGCTGCATCTCACCACCACGTGCTGCATCTCACCACCACGTGCTGCATCTCCCCCAGCAGCGCCTCTGCCGGCTCCGCCAGTGTCTGCTGCAAGTGCAGGCTCTGGGGGCATGTGGGAGCAGAGAGGGCAGCGGGTAGGAGGTGCCGACAGACGGAAGAGGGGTGACCAGTGAGATGCGAGTGGCTAGAGGGGAAGCAAAGCAGCTCACATGGAAGTAGAGCAGCTCACATGGAAGTAGAGCAGCTCACATGGAAGTAGAGCAGCTCACATGGAAGTAGAGCAGCTCACATGGAAGTAGAGCAGCTCACATGGAAGTAGAGCAGCTCACATGGAAGTAGAGCAGTTCACATGGAAGTAGAGCAGCTCACATGGAAGTAGAGCAGCTCACATGGAAGTAGAGCAGCTCACATGGAAGTAGAGCAGCTCACATGGAAGTAGAGCAGCTCACATGGAAGTAGAGCAGCTCACATGGAAGTAGAGCAGCTCACATGGAAATAGAGCAGCTCACATGGAAGTAGAGCAGTTCACATGGAAGTAGAGCAGCTCACATGGAAGTAGAGCAGCTCACATGGAAGTAGAGCAGCTCACATAGAAGTAGAGCAGCTCACATGGAAGTAGAGCAGCTCACATGGAAGTAGAGCAGCTCACATGGAAGTAGAGCAGTTCACATGGAAGTAGAGCAGCTCACATGGAAGTAGAGCAGCTCACATGGAAGTAGAGCAGCTCACATGGAAGTAGAGCAGCTCACATGGAAGTAGAGCAGCTCACATGGAAGTAGAGCAGCTAACATGGAAGTAGAGCAGCTCACATGGAAATAGAGCAGCTCACATGGAAGTAGAGCAGTTCACATGGAAGTAGAGCAGCTCACATGGAAGTAGAGCAGCTCACATGGAAGTAGAGCAGCTCACATAGAAGTAGAGCAGCTCACATGGAAGTAGAGCAGCTCACATGGAAGTAGAGCAGCTCACATGGAAGTAGAGCAGTTCACATGGAAGTAGAGCAGCTCACATGGAAGTAGAGCAGCTCACATGGAAGTAGAGCAGCTCACATGGAAGTAGAGCAGCTCACATGGAAGTAGAGCAGCTCACATGGAAGTAGAGCAGCTCACATGGAAGTAGAGCAGCTCACATGGAAATAGAGCAGCTCACATGGAAGTAGAGCAGTTCACATGGAAGTAGAGCAGCTCACATGGAAGTAGAGCAGCTCACATGGAAGTAGAGCAGCTCACATAGAAGTAGAGCAGCTCACATGGAAGTAGAGCAGCTCACATGGAAGTAGAGCAGCTCACATGGAAGTAGAGCAGTTCACATGGAAGTAGAGCAGCTCACATGGAAGTAGAGCAGCTCACATGGAAGTAGAGCAGCTCACATGGAAGTAGAGCAGCTCACATGGAAGTAGAGCAGCTCACATGGAAGTAGAGCAGCTCACATGGAAGTAGAGCAGCTCACATGGAAATAGAGCAGCTCACATGGAAGTAGAGCAGTTCACATGGAAGTAGAGCAGCTCACATGGAAGTAGAGCAGCTCACATGGAAGTAGAGCAGCTCACATAGAAGTAGAGCAGCTCACATGGAAGTAGAGCAGCTCACATGGAAGTAGAGCAGCTCACATGGAAGCAGAGCAGCTCACAAAGTTTTGAAAATATCCTGAAGCTCACGTAGAAGTAGAGCAGCTCGGCCAGGCGGCCATCCACAGCAGCGGCGGCCACGAGGGTGTCCCCGGCGCCGCCCTCCTCCACGCCGCCAAACGCCTCCGCCACCACTGCCGCCAGCTGGTGCAGCGCCTCCGCACACTCTGATGCGCGCAGGGGGGGAGAGGGGTGGAGAGAGACGGGTTCGGTTCGGATGAGAGGTATGGTGGTGGGGAGAGCAGCGGCGGCATGAGAAATGGGTGGCAATGGAGCGAGTACGATGGCAGCATGCATGTGCCGTGGGGGAGGCGTAGAGGGAGGGACAAGAGCATGCGGTGCGGCTGGGCTTGGACGGACAGACAGAAGCGGCAACAGTTGGGAGTCCAAATAATGATTGAGTACTAGTTGAAGTGCGCAGGCTTGGAAGCCACCCAAGAGCGCACCTGCTGCTCTCTCCTGTGCGTCCGCCACGGCTGCCAGCAGGCGCTCGTATTTGTCCCTCATCTCCCCCACCTCCTGCCATCCATGGCGCATGGGGCATGGGGCACAGAGCATGGTGCATGGGGCATGCAGCACGGGGCATGTGGCACGGGGCATGGGCATGGGGATGGCACGGGGTGTGGCATGGAAGATGGGATGGGGGATGGGATGGGCCATGGCATGGGTCATGGCACGGGGCACTTGACACAGGGGACGGGGAATAAGGCATGGGTTATGGTATGGAGCATTGGGGATGGGGAGTGGTGCATGGGCGCATAAGTGAATGCTTGGGTGCATGTCATGCCCCACGCACCTGCAAGCCCCACACAGCGCGCACCTGCAAGCCCCACACAGCGCACACCTGCAAGCCCCACACAGCGCGCACCTGCAAGCCCCACACAGCGCGCACCTGCAAGCCCCACACAGCGCGCACCTGCAAGCCCCACACAGCGCGCACCTGCAAGCCCCACACAGCGCACACCTGCAAGCCCCACACAGCGCGCACCTGCAAGCCCCACACACCTGCAAGCCCTGTTGGAATTCATCCTCGATAGAGTCCGTCTGCGTCACTGCCATGCCTCTCATCCCCTCCGCCGCGCCGCTGCTCCTCGCCCTACCCGCTCCGCTCGCCTGCTGCGCGCCTGGCGGCGTCCCTGAAGCCCTTTCCGTTGCGCGCGCATCGCCCGCTTTGCCCTTCGCCGCCAGCCCCGTCAGCCGCTTCCACTGCTTCATGCCGCCGCCGCCGCCACAGTGCTTTAGCGCAGCGACGCACGGTTGCGGCGAAAAGGCCTACGCGCTACGGGGCCTAACCGCGCCCGTCCGCTCTCGTCGATTAGCGGCGCGCCTAGACGAGCTGTGCGCGCGACATTACTCTCCGCTGCCGATGGCTATCCGGGAAGTTGAGGGCGGCCTCGGAGGGGCCGGCAGCTGCATCTTGAAAACCTAAGGTAACTGTTCTTCGTTAATGACGTCGCAGCAAGTGCGTTTCGCATTCGGATAAATCGTTCGTGAAGAAAAGCGCGCGGCGTCGCAGAGCGCAGAGGTGTGCCGTGCAGCGGCGGGGCGGCGGGCGCGCTGCCAGGCGGCCTCAGCGCGGGTGACGCGGCCAAAGCTACAACCCCGACGCGCCCATCCCTTGGCGCCCCACGCGAGAACACTGCTTGACGATGCGCGTTCGACCCGACGACGGGCACTGCGGCCTACGACATGCGCGGGAGGAGGTAAGCACGTGCGACTTGGGGCCAGCCAGGCGTGCGGACTGACACCGTTGCTGTCGGGAGCTCCGCCTGTGCGACGCTCTCTGCTTTGCGCGTTGTGGCGGAACCACCTAAAGCAGGAGAAACCAGACGACGGTCAGGCCGCTGGAAGACACAAACAGAACGCGATGTAGAGAGTTAGGAGGCGAAACATCGATTAGTGGTCGACGGAAAGACGGCACTTTTGTCTGGATAGCAGATCAACCATTCCCTTCAATCTTATGGATTGCTGAATGGTCGGTGGTTTTCTCATTCCACCTCACCTACGCTCACATGTGGTGTGAAGTCGGATATGGTGTAGTGAAGTTGGATATGGTGTAGTGACGAAAGCCCAACTTTCTTGTAGCGCGTCAACTTCTATATAAAATCACCCACTTTCAAGTGTACTGATTGTAATGAAAATTCAATCGCCTTACACACCTGACTTCATGTTATGTGCAATGGAACAAACAGTGAGGAATGCACAAAGAGGTCGGGGGGGGGGGGGGGGAGTACAGGTTAGTATGGTCACGGCGTGTTGCAATTGCCGGTGCACCGCATCGGCTCGGGACGTTTGGAAGGCTCCAGGCAGGCGGGAGACCAAACAAGGGCACTGATTCGGGAAAGAAAAGTTTCAAGATAATGATTAGAAGGGTTGTTTACCATGTTTATATTAGGACATACCTTTTCTCTGCGCGTTTTCTGTAAAAAAATTTACGGCCACTTGCGTTCCTGGAGCCTTCCTAAACCCGTGCCACGAGCCGAGCCGATGCAGTGCACCGCGAAGTGCAACACGCCGGAAATCACCAAACGCCTCCACCCAGCAATATTGCTGCCCGGGGCAAAAAAATATAAACAGCGGGAATATGGAAAAGCAGCCTGTTGAGATATGGTAACGCCGAATATATCTCAGCGGACAAGCGAGTCCGTCCGGGGGAGCACTCTGCCCGCGGGCAAAAAAAAATAAACCCCAGAAGGGCATGCATCCGGTCAGGGAGGCATCAACCCTAAACACAGGGAGGCATGGATTTAGGGTTGATGCCTCCCTAGGATGGCATGCCATCCGATAGGGTTTTAGTTTTTTTCTGCCCGGGGCAGCATGTCGTCAAGTCGTCAGAGGGTCGTCAGGCTTGACGACCCGTTTCCGCTGGGATATTCGGGAGGGTTTTTCTCAGCACATGGGATAAACCGTCTTTCTTAGAAACTATAGAGGAAAGGATGATGCATTAGGTCAACGTTGGGGTACAAAACTAGAGTGTTGAGATGATTTGTGTAACCCCTAAGGCTAGCCCCAATATAGCCTAGATAAATGACAAGCATATGTTTTGACACACCCCCATAGGCGAAATGGGGGATAGCCAGAGCAAGCAATGGTCACAAGACCAGTCAAGAGAAGAAACAAAACACAGCTCAGGGTGGATCACAACGTCACCACACACACTGAGCACAAGCAAACGGCCACAAGGCCAGTCCACATGCAGAGGTATATAAGCAACAAGAACAGTACAGTGATCTCTACCTAGCAAGAGCAAGCATGCAGGTATATATATATAGATCACAGTACAAGCAGAGACTACAGCAAGTGTGAAAACGTAGGCACAAGGCCCAACAAAGTACAAAAGCGCTGATGGTCACCAGACGGAAGTGCCTTGGTGAATATATTAGCAGTGTTGGCCCGAGTGGCCACGTGAGCAAGGCGAAGCTGACCCCGCTGCTGCAACTCTCGAGCCAGGAAGTAACGCAGAGCAATGTGCTTCGTTTTGTGCTCCAGTCTGTGCTCCTGACACAAGGCAATGGCGGCCTTGTTGTCTACGTACAGAACTGGAGGAGAACGAGGCCGCTCTCCCAGGTCGGTCAGCAGGTAGGTGAGCCAGCGTAACTCCTGTGCAGCCATGGCTGTGGCGTATATCTCAGCCTCACAACTGGAGCTGAGAACAGAAGACGAGCGTGTAGACCGCCAAGAAACAGAACCGAAGCCAAGGCTGAAAGTGTAACCCTGTGACGACCGCTGTGTAGCCTGGTCGTCAACCCAAGAAGCGTCTGAGTGTCTAGTGAGGACAACTGAGCTCCGCCCTCCAAGCACGAGCCCCATGCCCGATGTACTGCACAAGTTGCGCAGTACCCGCATCCATGTGCACCTTTCGGTGCCGACCAGGAGCCACGTAGCGAGCCAGAAGGCCAAGAGGGTATGCAAGGTCAGGATGAGTGCAGGTCATCAGGTACATGAGGCAGCCCACTAGCTCTGGGTACGGGCCACTCGGCTCTACGGACTCGTCCGAAGGTGGAGCTGAGAGCGAGTGGCCTGTAGCCAGAGGAGTGTGTTGTGGCGAGGACTAGGTGAAGCCGAAGCGCTGAAGGACCTGCTGCACCATGTGTGACTGAGTCAGTGTGATGGTGCGGCGTGCTCTGTCCCGGGTGATCTGCAAGCCAAGGTAACTGCGCAGCTCACACAGGTCTGTGCACGTGTGTCTCTTCTGCAGCTCCGACTTCACCAGGGCGAGAGCCTCAGTGTCAGCAGTGGCAAAGACCAAGTCGTCGACGTACACGAGGATGTAGAACGGCGGCAGCGAAGTGTCGGTGCGCAGAAACAGCGACCGGTCAGCAGTGGAAGGAGCAAACCCAAGAGCCGCAAGTGTCGTCCTCAGTGTGTCGTGCCACTCACGTGGCGCCTGGCGGAGACCGTAGACCGGCCGCCGGAGGCTCCACTGGGCACCAGGAGGGAACGACCCAGTGAAGTCAAGAGAGTGAAGCTCGTAGTCACGCTGAGCGGCAACGTGCAGCAGCACCCGAAGAGTGGTCATCTTCGGGGTGGGGGAGAAAGTCCGGAAGAAGTCAACTCCCTCCCGCTGACTGAAGCCTCGAGCAACGTAACGAGTCTTGAAGACAGGCGGAGAACCTGGCGGCCGCTTCAACCTGAAAATCCACATGCCGTCGACGATGTTCGCCCCAGGAGGGGGAACCTCGTCGACGTACGTGCCTGTGGACTTCCAGGATGCCATCTCTGCGTCCATGGCTGTCTGCCACTGAGAGGAGTACTCACCCGCGATCGCCTCAGCGTAAGAGCGCGGGGTCGGGATGTCTGGTGCATCCGGGTCTCCCTCAGGGGCAAGCAGCATGGCCACGAGATGAGGTGCAGCGGCCGCAAGACACTCAAGGTCCTCCTGTCCGTCATCAAGGACGTCCGTGCCAAGAGCACACTCACCCCCGACGGACGGAGGACAGACATACTCAGACTCAACAACAAGACTAGCAGCGTAGTCTAGACGACAGGCAGCAGCAAATTCAACCAGCTCAGCGACAAAGGCAGACGCAGCAACAGACTCAAACGACGGGTCAGTGACAACAGTGGCTAGCAAACGCATGACAGTAGGGTGCTCAGCACGAAACCGGTCAGATTCAGGGTCCGCAACGATAGGCAGAGAAGACGCAGGAGGAGACGACAGAGGAACACGCTGCGGAGGAGAGGAAGGACGACGGACTACGAGGTGGGTGCCGGGGACAGCCGACTGACGCGGACGAGGAACACGACGACCGGAACGACCAGAACGGACAGGCGAGGCAGGACGCGACGCAGGCTCACGACGCTCAGTCAGACCCCCTGTCTGCTCGGCGTAAGGAGAAGGAGCAGGCAGCGGTGAGCCAGGCTGTAACGGAAGACCAGTGGACGAAGGGAGACTAAGAACCTGGCGAAGCATAGAGTCAGGCGGTGGCTGAGACGACGGAGACGGTGGAGCGAAGAACAGGCGTGGCTGTGCAGTGCCACCAGCACCAGCAGCTCTAGTACCCCCTGCAGCTCCAGCACCTCCAGCAGCTCCAGAACCCTCACCGCCAGCTCTTCCAGGACCAGCTCCACCAGCAGCAGCACCCCCAGAATCAGCACCTCCAGTCCCAGGGTCTCCAGCCTCAGTGTCTCCAGCAGCAGCACCCCCAGACCCAGGGTCTCCAGCAGTAGCACCCTCAGGCTCAGCAGCACCTCCAGCCCCAGCAGCTCCAGTACCTCCAGTACGAGCACCTCCGGGACCAGCACCACTCCCAGCTCCAGTGACGTCAGCAGAAGTACCTCCAGCGGCAGAGCCCCGAGCTCCAGAAGCGCGACCCTGACGGCGACCGTACCAGTCGTGCAGCTGCTGTGAGGTGAGAGGCACACGCGGACGAAGGCGGCTACTCCAAGGAGACCGCGCAGCAGCAGACTCAGAATCCTCAGGCGTCGCACCCCCAGGCTCCTCACGCTCGGGCTCAGCACCTCCAGACACAGCACCCCCAGGGTCAGTACCTCCAGGCTCCTCACGCGCAGGCTCAGCACCTCCAGACTCCGCACCCCCCGGCTCAGCACCTCCTGGGTCCTCACGCGCAGGCTCCGCACCCCCAGGCTCAGCACCCCCAAGCTCCGCACCACCAGGCTTAGTACCCCCAAGCTCCGCACCCCCAGGCTCCGCACCCCCAGGCCCAGCACCCCCAAAGATAGCACCACCCCCAGCAGGACCTGAGTCACCAGTCACCTCAACAGGCGCAGGCACGGGAGGGTCTACCTAAGAAACACCTGAAGGAGCAGGACCTGGCGCGGAGAGGGGGTCTACCTGGGGAGGACCTGGGGCGAGAAAGAGCGGCGGGGGGGGGGGGCGAGGGGCAGTGCGGTAGGGAAAGAGACGGTAGAAGGGGATGAACTCGTCAAAGGTGACGTCCTGAGATGGAAAGACACGACGTGAGGCGGGGTCGTAAAACTGCCAGCCAGGCGCGTCAGGGACAAAGCCAAGGAAGACGCAGGGAATGGCGCGAGTGGAGAGCTTGTCCGCGGTGGTATCGGGGACAAACGCACGAGCACCCCAGACCCGGAAACGCGACGCATCGCCAACCTTCCCCATCCACAGCAGTGTGGGCGAGGTCTCCGGCAAGGAGACACGGGGCCAGAGGTTGAGCTGATGCGCGGCGTACCGGACCGCAAACGGCCACAGAAAATGGGGGGCAGCCGCATGGATCATGGAGGTACGAGCGACCTCCATGACTAAGCCGATGCGGCGCTGCGGAGAGGCCGGAAGCGTGAACGTCTGACGGATGCCGTGCTCCGCACAGAAGGCTGCCAAGAGGTCGGAGGAGAACTCACCACCTCTGTCAGAGTGCAGACGTAGGACAGGAATGTCCGAGTGGAACCGCTCGCGGAGCTGGAGACGAACAGCGTGGATCCAGGGGATCAAAACATCAGAGACCTCCCCCTTGCGCTGCAAGGGGAAGACCGTGGTGTAACGCGTGTAGTCGTCGACGACCAGCAGGAAGTACCGCTCGTGGCCCTGTCCACGGACGCGGGCTGGGCCCCACACGTCCAGGTGGAGAGTCTGTAGGGGAGCCTCTATGGGAGGGAACGAGGAGTGAGGAGCGGCGCGCTGCCGCCCCTCGACGCAAGGAATGCAGGGCGACGCAGGCGAGGGAGGGAGGGCAGGCAGAGACCTGGGAAGGTCAGAGACCAGGAAGCGAGAGTGCATGCTACGAAGGCGAGGCAGGGAGGGGTGACTAAGGCGGTGGTGCTACAGGAGAGTGTCGTGCGACAGGCGGCGACACTCACACTGGGTAGCTACCTGAGCAGACGCGTACAGCTGGGGAGACAAAGGGACGTAGCGCGACGTAGTGGTGAGGGTGTACAGACTGGACCCAGGCGCATGTGTAAACGTGGCCTGGTGACGGCCGGTTCGGGAGCAAGTGCAGATCGCCACACGCTGTCCTCCAGGAGTAAAGGTGTCAACTCAGTGATCCTGAAGGACGGCGTTGCTCACCAAGTTCGTAGAGAACGAGGGGAGGTGGAGACTAGACAGCTCACCAGACGGGACCGCCGGACACGGAAGCACAGTGGAAGACCGTGCAAGCACTGGGCCCCCAGAGGGGTCAGCCAGTGAGACAGGGACAGGTGCAGGGAGGGGAGTGACTGTGGTACTGTCGCGAAAGAAACAGCGGGAAGCACCAGAGTCAAGTGTAAAGGTGTGCAAGGCCTGTGCGGACGCAGTACCAGGGGGAGCAGACTCACAAGCACCTGGCGCTATACCTGGCGCTATACCGGGGTCAGGCGGCACACACAAGTAGCAGTCACCCTCAGCACTAACAGTCAATGCATACATGGCAGCAAGAATAGCATCATAGTCAAGATCAAAGATAGGTACATCACGCCTAAGCAGGTCTGCCCAGTTGGGGAACTCAGTAGCATCAGAAAACTTGACGCGCCAGGTGTCGCTAAGCCGAGCGAAGCAGCGGTACTCAGTGTGAAAGCCGGTGCACTGACGACCAGCGCGGGGACCTGCGCGAATGATATAGGGGCAGCGACCAGGACCCCCAGACGCCCCACGCCCAGGCATACCAGTCATGAAGCTGCTGGGAAGTGGGGGTCTGGGGCTGACGCTACTGCGGCTACTGCTGCTGCTGCTGCTTCTGCTTCTGCTGCTGCTGCTGCTGTCCCTGGCCACCACCGGCCTCACCCAAGCCCCCACCACCGCCGCCACCACCACTCCCCCCTCCGCCACCACCGCCGCCGCCACCGCCACTGCTCCCGGCACCACCACCGCCCCCACCACTACCCCCACCCCCACGACCACTGCCACTGCCTCCATCGCCCCCGCCGCCTCCACCACCGCCCCCTCCACCGCCACGTCCGCCACCCTTGCCACCCTTGCCTCCCCTGAAGCCGGTGCGCTCCCCACTCGGAGCTGAAGCAGCTGCGACCTTCTCAGCACCAAGGAGGTCGACAGCAGCAGCTGCGGAGGCGTAGGAGGGGGTAAGAGGGGAGGGGGAGCACCCCTCAAAGAGGGGAGTGCGGGGAGTACCACGAGCAGCACCTACAGCTAGATTGTTCTTCTCGGCTGCTAGGAGGTGCTTCTCGAGGTCGTCGACAGTGAGAGAAAGGGGGTCAAGGGCGAGGAAGTGGTCCCTGACTGAGCGAAGGGTGTCAGGGAGGCGGGTGATGAGGAAGTAGAGAGTAAAGTACATCGGGGGGTGGTTCTCTGCGAGGAACTCGGCTGGAAGGGCGGCACGAAGGCGAGTGTCACTAGTGCGTAGGTGAGAGATGAGGTCCTCAGCGGTGGTAAACGAGGACAGGTCGGGGAACAGGTAGGGTTGCATAAGTCGGCCGAGGGCTGCAGTGGCCGGCAGCAGCAGTGCAGGCAAGGCAGCGGAGATGGCGCGCAGGGCAAGCAAACACGCTTGGCAGGCAGGCGCTCAAGGCAGGCAGGCGCACTTGGTAGGCAGGCGCTCAAGGCAGGCAGGTGCTCAAGGCAGGCAGGCGCTCAAGGCAGGCAGACACTTAAGGCAGGCAGGCGCTTTGGCAGGCAGGCGCTCAAGGCAGGCTAAGACAGGCAGTCGCGCGGCTCACGGGCGGCTCATAGGCAGGGCACGTGCGGCTGCGGGCTGCGCGCGGCTGCTGGCTGCGCGTGGCGACGGGCTGCGCGCGGCTGCGGGCTGCGCGCGGCTGCTGGCTGCGCGTGGCTGCTGGCTGCGCGTGGCGACGGGCTGGGCGCGGCTGCGGGCTGCGCGGGCGGGGCCTAAGCGGGCTGCGCGCGGGCGGCTTAAGCGGCGCGCTAGTCGGCGGTAGGCTACGCGGGCGGCTGACGTGGTGCGCGGGCCTAAAACGTGTTGCGCGCGGGCTGCTTAAGCGGCGCGCGCGGGAAAAAAAAAAGGGCCGCGCGCGTGCAGCCGAGGCGCGCGCGGGCAGGAGGCAAGGCAAGTGAGGTAACGTTGTAACCGGTGGGCCCTAATCTTAGGTCCTAAAGACCTATTGCTCTAGATACCATCTTAGAAACTATAGAGGAAAGGATGATGCATTAGGTCAAGGTTGGGGTACAAAACTAGAGAGTCGAGATGATTTGTGTACCCCCTAAGGCTAGCCCCAATATAGCCTAGATAAATGACAAGCATATGTTTTGACAGTCTTCAACTGTGCTTTATTGCACGGTCCACTATTAGTAGACAGAAACCAATTTCTGTACATTTTTTTAACAGCAACATTGGATGTTATAGTGTATGGTAGAGAAAAACCAGGTGGACAATGTGAATATAAAAATAACAGGGCTGAAAGGAGTTTATCCCAGAAAATCAGAAGTGCCAGAAATCAGGAGTTTATCAGACTAGTGGGACATCAGAAGCCGTGGCGAGCAGATGTGGAGCACGGAACGGACATGAGCGCTTCACATGGGATGGGAGCATGGGCAGGTGGTGAGATCAGTCCCAGTCCCCATCGGCATCAAAGACCCCTGCATCCCTCATCTCCGAGTAGTATGCATCCTCCACCTCCGTATCCTCGTCCTATGAGGGGCGTTGAGGAGAAGGGGAGGGCAAGGGGAACGAGGAAGAAACGCGTTTGCAGGCAGGTGGGTGAGTGCGGGTGGAAACAATGGGCGGTGACAGAGCCAGCAGAGTGTGGCACGCTAAGGCGAAGAAAAGATGTATTGGGAGTGGCAATTGGGGGAGGTGGGAATTGGAGTTGTGTGGGCAACACGATGGCGTGACACGGCAGCTTGTTGACGTAAGCAGTGTAGCCGTGGCTCACATAGGTTGGCAACATGATCCACCACACCCTGTGCTGGCAACATGATCCACCACACCCTGTGCTGGCAACATGATCCACCACACCCTGTGCTGGCAACATGATCCACCACACCCTGTGCTGGCAACATGATCCACCACACCCTGTGCTGGCAACATGATCCACCACACCCTGTGCTGGCAACATGATCCACCACACCCTGTGCTGGCAACATGATCCACCACACCCTGTGCTGGCAACATGATCCACCACACCCTGTGCTGGCAACATGATCCACCACACCCTGTGCTGGCAACATGATCCACCACACCCTGTGCTGGCAACATGATCCACCACACCCTGTGCTGGCAACATGATCCACCACACCCTGTGCTGGCAACATGATCCACCACACCCTGTGCTGGCAACATGATCCACCACACCCTGTGCTGGCAACATGATCCACCACACCCTGTGCTGGCAACATGATCCACCACACCCTGTGCTGGCAACATGATCCACCACACCCTGTGCTGGCAACATGATCCACCACACCCTGTGCTGGCAACATGATCCACCACACCCTGTGCTGGCAACATGATCCACCACACCCTGTGCAGGCAACATGATCCACCACACCCTGTGCAGGCAACATGATCCACCACACCCTGTGCTGGCAACATGATCCACCACACCTTGTGTGCCGGCTCATTCTACAGGCCTCGGCTTATTGCCAGCCTATGCCATGTGTGCACGCATGTGTGCAGGCATGGTTGCAGGCACGGGCGTGGGCATGTGTGCAAGGATATGTGTAGGGATGGGTGCGGGCACAGCAGCAGTGGATGGAGGGAAGGAGGGGGCACCTTGAAGAAGTCGGCCAGGAAGGTGATGTAGAGTAGCGGCGGGAAGAGCGCCCAATACACACACACTGCTAGCCCTCGCATGCTGCACGGGAAAGGGGGCACAGCATCGCAGCACCCACGCATACCCATCCATTCCCATGCAAATCCATGCATGCCAATGTGCACGCATGCCCATGCAAACCGATTGATGGTCATGAGGCGGAGTGTTTGGCGGCACTCACAGAACTATCCAAGAAACAAATGCCATGAATAGTGCATGTGTGGGGCGAGGAGAGAGTGCAAATGCACTGACCAGAGGGCGGCGGGCACGTGGAGGGCGAGGAGGAGAGAGGCCAGGGCGGAGGCAGAGTGCAGCAGCAGTAGCAGCAGCAGGTAGCGGTGGAAGGCCGGGCGCGCTGCTCACAGCAAGGTGAGGGGCCGGGAGGGTGACGAAAATGAGAGAGGCGTGCATGTCATGAGTGCATGCCATGAGTGCATTTCATGAGTGCATGTCATGAGTGCATGCCATGAGTGCATTTCATGAGTGCATGCCATGAGTGCATTTCATGAGTGCATTTCAAGAGTGCATTTCATGAGTGCATGTCATGAGTGCATGCCATGAGTGCATTTCATGAGTGCATTTCATGAGTGCATGGCATGAGTGCATGTCATGAGTGCATTTCATGAGTGCATTTCAAGAGTGCATGGCATGAGTGCATGTCATGAGTGCATGCCATGAGTGCATTTCATGAGTGCATTTCAAGAGTGCATGGCATGAGTGCATGTCATGAGTGCATGCCATGAGTGCATTTCATGAGTGCATTTCAAAAGTGCATTTCATGAGTGCATGTCATGAGTGCATGCCATGAGTGCATTTCATGAGTGCATTTCATGAGTGCATGGCATGAGTGCATGTCATGAGTGCATTTCATGAGTGCATTTCAAGAGTGCATGGCATGAGTGCATGTCATGAGTGCATGCCATGAGTGCATTTCATGAGTGCATTTCAAGAGTGCATGGCATGAGTGCATGTCATGAGTGCATGCCATGAGTGCATTTCATGAGTGCATTTAATTCAAGAGTGCATTTCATGAGTGCATGCCATGAGTGCATTTCATGATATCAGAGTGCACCGCATGAGTGCATGCCATGCAAGGTTTGAAAATATGGTCCGCTTATTACGGTAAATAAATAATTATTAAACAAAAATTGGATTTTTTTGTTAGAAAACTCTTGTCACCAAGAAAAAAAAAAACCGGAAAACAAGGTCGGATACATTTTCAATCATGCCCACAAACGCACACATGCAAGGAGGGGTTCATCTTCTTCGTCCTGACACCTTTCGCCTTCAATTTGGTCCCACAAATCGGCCGTTTTTTTTTTTTTTTTTTTTTTTTTTTTTTTCAAACAAAAAACATCTCCTGGAACCATTTTAGACCGTTTTTTACGGCCCTTTTTTACAGTAACGTTTCTTACGGTAAAATTCCATACGGTCGTTTTTTTAAACCCTCATGCCATGAGTGCGTGCCATGAATGCATGCCATGAGTGCGTGCCTACAGAATACAACGTGCATGCCTCTTCACTTCGCCCACATCTCACCCTCGCCCACATCTCACCCTCGCCCACATCTCACCCTCGCCCACATCTCACCCTCGCACACATCTCCCTGCTTCCTTCACTACTCTTGCTCTCCACGCACCTCTTCACCCACCCGCCTCGCTCTGCCCCGGCTACTGCAGCATTCTAATAAGACAGCGAATGCCACCCACCAGGGAGGGCGTCGCGCCACTGGGAGAGTGGCAGGGAGAGCAACGCGGCGTAGACGGCGGCACGGAGGGCGTCGTGGGCGAGCCAGAAGAGCCACACGGCGGGCGGCGTGGCAACGGCAAGGGCTGGGTGGAAGAGCGGCAGCGTGTGGTGGAACACCAGCGACGCCTGCCATGGCCATGGCGCACGCAGCGGGGGACGGGGGGGATGGAGGGGGTGGTGGTGGCAAGAAGGTGCGGTGGCAGGGCACAGAGAGGAAGAGAGGAAGAGGCGTGTAATAATGAGAAGGGAGGGAAGGAGAGAGTGGAAGGGGAGAGGCATGCAAAGGGGAGTATGGGCAGACGGCTCTGTGCACAGTGCATGGGAGGAGGGCGTTGGGGGACGGCAGTGGGGAGGGCAGGGCTGCAGTGGCAGAGGTACCTAGTTGGCCATGCGGGACATGCTGCTGCTTCCACACCTCACCTTGACTGCCACGTCAGCGCCAGCGAGGATGGCAGCGATGACAGCGGTGCGCAGCATGGCCTCGGAGGCGGACATGCGGACGCCGTGCATGAGAAAGAGCAGCACGCCCGCCGCCAGCCACGCCCCGCTCAGCCACGCGCTGCTGGTGGCCGGCGCAGCAGCCTCAACTGGTGAGAACAGCAGCAGCTGGGCGGGGAGAGGCAGGGAGAGGGAACGTAAGAGGGTGAGCACGGAGAACGTGGGGGTACATGGTGTTTGTGAGGAGGATGCAGGTGGGGTGATTTTTATGTGAAAGGGCAAGCGAGCACGCAGCCAATCCGGCAGCTCAGCTCATCGGGTGCCGTTCTCGGTGCAGGTGAGTGGCAGCTTGCCACGCAGGTCCTTGGTTCATTGAACCTCCTGGTTCACACACTGTCTCCGCCATGACTGTGTCACTCCGCCATGACTGTGTCACTCCGCCATGACTGTGTCACTCCGCCATGACTGTGTCACTCCACCATGACTGTGTCACTCCGCCATGACTGTGTCACTCCGCCATGACTGTGTCACTCCGCCATGACTGTGTCACTCCGCCATGACTGTGTCACTCCGCCATGACTGTGTCACTCCGCCATGACTGTGTCACTCCGCCATGACTGTGTCACTCCGCCATGACTGTGTCACTCCGCCATGACTGTGATACTCCGCCATGACTGTGTCACTCCGCCATGACTGTGTCACTCCGCCATGACTGTGTCACTCCGCCATGACTGTGTCACTCCGCCATGACTGTGTCACTCCGCCATGACTGTGTCACTCCGCCATGACTGTGTCACTCCGCCATGACTGTGTCACTCCGCCATGACTGTGTCAACCAGCAGCTGTCTCAGTTTCCCCAGGGTTCAAAACTGACAAGATACAGTCGTATCGCATTGCTCTTGCTTCCATTGCGTTGCAGCTACAACCTCGTATCTAGTCCCTCCTCCACGTGTATCTAGTCCCTCGTCCACGTTGTATCGGACCACCACTTCACCACAACAACTCCGCTTCAGGTCTGTTGATAATACTCACTACACTTGTTGTCATGACTCACTACACTTGTGTACCCGTGCACAGTTATGTAACCGAAGCACCTCAAACAAAACCACGGCTCCGTTTCGTGCTCGTGTGGTGTGCCTGGTACCTGGCGTGTACGAGCTATAGATCACCCCGAACTGGCAGCTGCAAGTGAGGCACCTGGGGCGAGGCACATGGGGCGAGGCACGTGGGGCGAAAAGGAGAGAAACGAAATGAGGAGGCCAGTCCCAGCTTGGCTTTGCGGATTTGAACTCCCTTCCATTTCAATCTCTTCCAACGATCCTAGGCAGCCATTTCGTTTACACTGAATGACACGCGCATTACTCACAGCCCTGTTCCGTATGTTGTGTGACACAAACCCAGCAACCAATGACCGCGCTGCAATGACACTCACCTCTTCTGCTCGTAGAGCTCCTTCGTTTCCTGGTGGAGGGCGGAGGGTGGAGGGCGGAGGGCGGAGGGTGGAGGAGAGAAGAAGAGGAATCAGAGTGTGAGACAGACAAAGGGCAGACGGTATGGCAGGTGAAGATGAGAGGTAGGATTAGATGTAGGATGAGAGGTGAAAGCTGGTCTGCCCAACTGATGCTAGCCCACTCATGCTTCCTCTTTGGTATAACAAGCTTCCACAACCTTTAAGTTCGGCTTGTGTGTTAGTTAAATAAGCTAGGCATTATTATTCACTTCAGAATCTTCAAAAAGCTTACACCACATAACAAATCTAATACCCGCAACACCCGCCAAGGGAAGGCCACATCAATCTCACAGGATACCTATCGCTCATTCCTGCTGCATCTCACCACCACGTGCTGCATCTCCCCCAGCAGCGCCTCTGCTGGCTCCGCCAGTGTCTGCTGCAAGTGCAGGCTCTGAGGGCATGTGGGCATGTGCCATGGGGGAGACGAGAGGGCGGCGGGGGGTTAGCAGACACAAGGAAAAGGGGTGAGCAGTGAGATGGGAGTGGGGAAAAGGGAAATGGAAGAATTGAAAGGCGAAGCAGATTCCCTCACATGGAAATAGAGCAGCTCACATGGAAGTAGAGCAGCTCACATGGAAGTAGAGCAGCTCACATGGAAGTAGAGCAGCTCACATGGAAGTAGAGCAGCTCACATGGAAGTAGAGCAGCTCACATGGAAGTAGAGCAGCTCACATGGAAGTAGAGCAGCTCAGCTAAGAGGCCATCGACAGCGGCGGCGGCCAGGAGGGTGTCCCCGGCGCTGCCCTCCTCCACTCCGCCAAAGGCGTCCGCCACCACCGCCGCCAGCTGGTGCAGCGCCTCCGCACACTCTGATGCGCGCAGGGGGGAAAGAGAGGGGCGGGATGAGAGGTAGGGTGGCAGGGCGTGCAAAGTGGATGGCGAAGGAGCGAGTGGCGGTGGCACGAATGCGGTAATGAGGGGAGAGGGGGGGGGGGGGGATGCAGCGAGGGATGTGAGCATGCGGTGGGGCTGGGCTTGCACGGACAGAGAGAAGCGAGAGCGGGTGGGGGTGCAAGGAAGGATTGAGTACTAGTTCAACTGCACACGCTTCAACGTCCACCCAAGAGCGCACCTGCTGCTCTCAACGTCCACCCAAGGGCGCACCTGCTGCTCTCTCCTGTGCGTCCGCCACGGCTGCCAGCAGGCGCTCGTATTTGTCCCTCATCTCCCCCACCTCCTGCCATCCATGGCGCATGGGGCATGGGGCACAGAGCATGGGGCATGGGACGTGGGGCATTGGGCACGGGGCATGATACGGGGCACGGGGTATCGGGCATGGGGTATGGAGCAGTGGGGATGGGGAGTGGTGCATGGCTGCGTGGTGCATGCTTGGGTGAATGCC